TATATGCATATATGTCTTCCATTGTTCAAGCTTAGATTTGAGAAGGTTAGGGAGAGAATTTGAAGAAGATCAAGAAGGGAAAGTGGAAGAGCTTGGCAAGGGCTATTATTTGACACCACAATTTGCAAGGGGTTTGGGGAATTTCAAATTAGTGTTTGCATTAGGGCTTGTTTGGCTTGCATAATTAAGGTAGGGGTTGTAATGACCCAAACTCGGGGGTCCGAGTCATAGACCGAGTCCTTAACCGAACCCGATGTTATCTAGGGCAATATGGTCATTTTTATGGTTAGAACATAATCCTCACACCTTATAAGTAATTATAGTACAACCTAGTACCATTGAATGAGCCAGAACTGGATAACATAAAGAGAGAAAAAGGATCAGTGAAGCTACAGGTTTCGATCGACGTGTACAGGCCACACGTCAACTAGTTTAGGTGAATCGGTCGACGTGTGCAGGTCACGCGTTGACCAGTTTAGGTTACACAGGGGGGGTATCTACTGATGAGATACCGGTCGACGTGAACAGTGCCATACGTTGACCGATTCTTTGATGTGGTTGGTTTTAGGCCATGTTTGAGTGTTCGGGCCATTGGTAACCTTGATAGCTCATTTGTGAACTTAAATGCGATGCAAAATTACCCCGGGGACATGTATGGAGTAGCCATTCACCAACATTAAACATTAGTATAACATTACGTAATTAATTTCGTATCAAATCCCTTGTGCGATGGTAACATGCCTAGTGCTTACTTGGATTACCATTACATGGTTTACATTACATCAAATAATTCCAAAAGAATAAGGTTACAAAACAAGGCCCTTAACGCCTCAATTACATTGCTTTAACAAAAGAATAGCTAGGTATAAGTATTATTCACAAAAATCTACAAAAGAAAGTCATATCTACATCATCTATCCTTGGGGAGGTCTGTCATCAACCACGTCCTTACCATGACTTGAAAAATGTTAAAGGAAGGAGTGAGCATGGAGGCTCAATAGAAGTTGTATAAGGCGTCAACTTTAGACTTCGTTGAGCTATAAAACATATAACGGGAATAAGAAGGAACCGGGTTCATACATTTAGGGATTCATATCACATTTATAACATAAATACAATTCCATCAATCACATAACACATTTAAACAAAATCATGCATAATATGAAATGCAGTGCACGATTATCCCTCATGCTTAGTCTCTACCGAGCCTAACTTATACCGAAAAATGGCTAACCGACTTTACTGAGGTGAAATTGATTAACTATCCTGGCCTCTAAACCGACGATCATTTTAGGGTCTAGTAATCAACTTTATACGTCCTAAACTAGCACGCCCTTCTGTAGGTCAAGTTAGCACCGGACTTGCGAAATCCGATTATTTTATAGAAAAACTTTGTTTCAACCCTTTCTCGTTCTCTTTTTTTTTTTCTCACTATGACATTTTTATGTATCACTTTGATCTCAATTCCATTAAAATAACAACAATAACACATAAATAGCCTTTTCTATAGTGTGATCATAACATAACATTTTCAATAACTAAGCATGAGCATGGCATTTGTTATAAAACTCTGTTATAAGTATGGTATTTTCAACATTAAACATAACATGTTCATTCCATAATTCATCTCAACTCAACCAAATTAGCAATTAGCACATAATATGGAAATGACAACCCTTTTAACTCATTTAAGCATACTTCCACATACTTTAGCATAACAACATCATAATGTTCATAATTTTGCATCAAGTTATAGAGACTAGAGAGTTCAAAATATAATTACTCAATTGAAGACAAAGTTCAAGGCATTAGGAAAAACCCCTACCTTAAAGGAAGCCAACCAAACAAGCCTTATACCTCACCCAATTTCAAAGTTCCCCAAATGGTAGCAAGATCGGTCTCAAAACATAGCCCTTAATATGTATATCAGCTCTCTTTTCTATGGTTTTAGCAAACTTCCAGTCTAATCCCCTCAAATGTGAACTTGAAGCACGTAAGTATATATGTATATATAGATATAGAGAGAAAGATAAATTGTAGAGAGAGGAAAGGTTTGGCTAAGAATGAGGAAAGAGGGGGGTGGTGGTGTGGTCTTGCCTTTATTTGTGTGGTCCTCATTGGGCCACTTGTCAACCTATGGTTGGTTATAACTCCCCCAAGGTTACCTAAATGCCATTGCTCATCCAATATAACACCATCTATATCCCCCAAAATATCTTCTCTAATATCTAGATACAAATATATATATATATATATATGCAAGTGAAATGCTTACAATGCCCCTCAATGCGAATAGCAAAATTGGGAGGATAGCCTGATCCTCGGAAATCGTCCCGACTTCTAAAAATTCTAAAAATTAATCCCATTACTCCTAATTGGCTTAAAATAGTTTAAAAAAAATACCTTTCGAAAACTCTTGGCTCAAGAAAATGACTTTAACTGCCCTCAGGCCCCACGTAGCACGCAAAACGAGGCATAAAAAATAAATTAAATAAAATTCAGAAATATCCAAAAAAATCCCGGACATTACAAGGGTTTTCTAATTACTTTGAACTTTGCCCTTTATTAAGAAATATTGTCTTGTTCCTTCATTAAATGCATGTTGAATGCAATATTGTGAACTTATTGTTAATTGAATGTTAATGATGTGCTAATGTGTTCTAAGCATGCTTATGTGAAAAAATGTGTCATTCTATGTTAAATTTTAAATGTTAGAATAATTGTGTTGATATGGTTTCTATGCTAAGCATGTTGTGATTAAATGATAAAGAATGATTTGCTTGTAATTTAACTATAGAAAATGCTATGCTTATGTTCATTTTTAAAAAAATGCCATGCTTACGCTATTGTTGTCATATACTTGAAATTAAAGCTAAATTGGTGAGATTGATGCATATGCATGACATGGCGAGAAGGGTCAATGAAAATGGCAATTAAGTTGTTTTAGAATGGGTTTGAAATGGATTTTATAAAATGAATTGAATTTCGCGAATTTGGTGCTAACTTTAACCTAGAGGGAGTGCGTGCCGGTTATAGGATACATAACGTTGATTACTAGGCTCCAAATGGCTGTCGATTTAGATGCTAGGGCTAGCTAATCAATCTCGCCTCGGTAAATTCGGTTAGCAGTTTTCAGTGTGAGTTAGGGTCGGTAGAGACCAAGTTTAGGGACAGTTATGCATTGCATTTTCATACAAAGTTGTGATAAGTTGTGAAAACGCCATTAATGGGATTGATCTGTGATTTAATTGCTATAAATTCCCCCAAGGAATGATCCCAATCTCTTTTAGTCTTATTCTACGTTATGTGGCTTAAGGAAGTCCAAAGTTGACGCTTTAGGCATCTTCTACCGAGCCTCCATGCTCACCACTTCCTTTAATATTTTTTAGGTCACGACAAGGATATAGTTGATGATGAACTCTCACAAGTGTAGTTAAGGATGACATAATCCTTTTTTTGTTATTTTTGTAATCAATTCTTAGTTGACGTATATTCTTTTGTAAAGCGTTGTAAATGAGACCTCGAGGGTGTAAACTTGTATTTATATTCTTTTGGACTATTTTGAAACTTTTGGAATATTTTCGGCATGTAAATGATGATATTGATGACTATGTTCATGTCCAAACCGACTATGCAAGTTTTACAATGGAATGATGTCAATGTCATTTTTTAGATGATGTATGATGCTGACCATCCCTTAAAAATGATAGTTTTACCCCTGATGGGTTTAGAAGCTCAAATAAGTGTAGTAAATGACTATTTCACCCTTTTGGGTTCTAAAGTATTATTTAACCATGTTAAATGACCGTTTTACCCTTATGGGCTGTAGATCTACTATAATGACGTAAAATGACCTTGTTACCCCTGACTTTATCTTAATTATTAGATGACCTTAGTAAGTGACCATTCTACCCTTTTTGGGTCTTGAACTATTATAATTGAGTTAAATGATTGTTTTACCCTTGATGAGTCTTAAGGTATTAATTCGACGCGAAATGACCATAGTACCCTTATATGTCCTCGGGTTCGGGTGAGCACCCGGTTAGCGATCCGAATCCCTGAATTTGGGTCGTTACACAAACCGTATTTCACATGGTGTGGGTCTTGTCTGATAATTTTGACATGAAAGGGCCATTTTACCCTTATCAATTAGAAAGCTCCGAAATGAACCCGAACTTGGAGTTAAGTTGCAAAGATGGTTAAAAGTGACCTATAATGACTATTTGTTTTCCGTTATGATTCATATTGTTTAGTTGGAGTGAAACGACCATTTTACCCTTGGGTGTCCTCGGGTCGGGGTAGGATTCGGTTAACTTTTCGGATCTCTCGGATTTGGGTCAGGCCCACGCAGGACCTCTCAAACCCACAAACCTAAAAATGCCCGAAAAACTCCAAAATGATCCTAAATGCATTTCTAAGAGTCCGAAATTCGAAAAAATAATCTAAATGACTCACTGGACCCACATGGCATGCATCCCCATGCACATAAATAAAATACATGAAAAAAAATAAAATAAAATAGACACCGAACCTTAAACCCTTCCCACCCTTAAGGGATTTTGTCCTCACAAAACAAAAACTCTCAACTGCATGCATAAGAGTGAAAAAAATATATATAAAAAAACAATGATCACCTTAGTGCATCTCCAGCATTCTGTTAAAATACTCTTTTGTGTAAAATATGCACTATCACGTATGATGTGTAATTTTATTTTTATTTATTTAAATTTTTTAAAAATTTTTTTTTTTATCTCCAGCAGTCTATTAAGATACACTGCCACGTCACCAATGTGTAATATTGTTCTGTATTTTACACAATCTTTTTACACAATCGCATCAACATATTTCTTTTTCCCTCTCTTTTTTTCATTCCATTAACTAATCAACCCTACATTAAGAAGGTTCGTAAAAATTATGTGGAGTCCATATATGACACTAATTGATTGTTTTGGGGGATATATTTTTACACAAAAGGTATAAAACAACCTTAGAGCTAAAAATAAACAATTCAAAAATTTTGTACAAATTTATTTTGACACATCATATTTACATAAAAATAAAAATAAAAAAATAAAATAAAAAAGAGTTATACATAATTGGAGAGGCTCTTATCCACCAAGACAACAACAATCCAACTAACAGCAGCACTAACTTATCCACCACCAAGAAAACTTATTGTGAATACATCTTAAAAAAATAATTTTTATATATACTCTCTTAAAGGTTTGTGGGATGGGGAATCATTCCATCCTCGAAATTAAATCGTAATTCCATGAGATTTTCAGGGAGGTTTTGAGAAGCATCGTCAAAGTAATTAGTATATTCAAGTACCTCATAATATTTGTCAATTGGTTCTTGCCAGTAAAAATCACTAGTTTCTTCTCCACGAGAATTTGGCTCAAAAATGTTCGGTGTGCGATGATGAACATGTTTGCTGGTTGTGGGATGATCAACCTGCGGCACCTGCCAGTTATACAAGCTCGCTGAGGGATCAGAAGGAGAAGGAATTGGCAACTGGTTATGTGGATTGGACATCACGCTATATGTGGGATGAGAACTGTCAGGCATCAGATGCGTTGCTATGGGAGGATTGTCAAGAGGCTTACTCAAGCTCTCTGAGGGAGAAAAATTTGTTATCATGTCTGTGGGTTGAACAGCAGGAGGAGTATCCTCAAAGTAATTATTATATTGAAGTTCCTCAGAATATTTGTCAATTGGTTCTTGCCAGTAAAAATCACCAGTTTCTTCTCCACCAGAATTTGGCTCGAAAATGTTCCGTGTGCTGGTTGTGGGATGATCAACCTGCAGCACCTGCCAGTTATACAAGCTCGTTGAGGGATCAGCAGGAGAAGGAATTGGCAACTGGTTATGTGGTTTGGACATCACGCTATAAGTGGGATGAGAATTGTCAGGCATCAGATGTGTTCCTATGGGAGGATTGTCAAGAGGCTTACACAAGCTCTCTGAGGGAGAAAGATTTGTCAACATATCTGTGGGTTGAACAACAGGAGGAGGCACAGACTGCGTTTTCGGGGCAGAAATATAAAGTCTACAAAGAGCCCATTCGTCCTGCAAAAGAAAGATAGATACAATTAGTGAGAATGATATTGTGTGTGTGTGTGTGTGTATATAATGAAAGCTGATTAACAGAAGGAAATTAAGTAAAGACGTGCCCTTGGCATTGTATATTCGTCCATTTTCCAACTGGTCCTGATAGGCCTGTTAGTCTTGTTAGTTGTTCCTTTGTAGAAAGCCACTTGCCCCGCCTTTTGTCCAACAGTACCCTGGCATATCACGTCGATGGTCTTTATAGTTGTTTTCCAATGTCCATCACCGGCTTTTCGCTTTGTTTTCCTTGGTGTTATGAAGTACCATTCCTTCCTCCCGTCTGCAGTCTCTGTACCTACGTAAAGCAATCAACCAATTTGAATTTTAAGCTAGGCATCTCATAATATACTACTAATTATGGTCAACATATATGTATACATATAATTAATGAAGGAAAATTAAATTAATTAATTGCTGATCTGCTAATAAAATTTAATATATAGATGAATGAGCACAAAGATAAATATATATATATCTATATATGCATTTTTTTGATAAACACATAACTCTGTTTCAGGTAGTGGCTCTGATGTGGCGCTCTGTAACAGTAAGGTGTAACAGGAATATATATGTTTGGAGTTGGGGACATATGAATATATAAAGTAGTCCCTTTTGTTTGTAGTTGTTTTTAGTTTTGTTAATTATTTACCTTACAATAGGTTGAGTAAGCCTGTTATGATTGTATAGTGAGTGTATGCTCTCGTATTGCTTTATTACATATAATTTGTTTGTCCAGTGAAATTTCACATTAAATAAATAAATAAATAATAATAATATTATTATTATTAATATTAAAGGACAAAAGAATAACTAACAGAAAAACACATTGACATAAGAATCAACATCTAGAACTAATAGACGTCACTATGCACACACATACTCAATCCACGTGGATGATAACTCAACAATATAAGCTCAACATAATTATTGTTTTGGAAAAGAAAAGTTTGTAATACTTTCCTTATTTCCTAGAATTTGTACGAGAATTCAATTTTAAATACAATTCATACCACTAATTAAGGTCATGATTATAAACAATCAAGCTCTTTTCTTCTCTGCAAGGACACCCTCCTTAACTTTCTTTGCAATTCATGTCTCTTCCTACAATTTATTTTCTCTATATATACATTCAATTGTGATTATTGTTTTGTGAACGTGCCCATAGAGACATTTGAGTTGTATCATCTTTTTATGAACATGCCACAGAGACGATTGAATTGTATCATGGAATCTTTCACGACTGAAGATGCACATAGGAAACTATAAAAACTCTAGTTCAGTACAAGATTGCGCTAAATTTGATCTGTTTCATTTCAGTGAGTGTTTATGTACTAGTCTATATTTTGTTGATCAATTGTTTTATATAATCTTTTATTTATTGATATTCTGTTATGAATAAATAAGTATTATGCCTAAACTACATTCTCTATATGATTAATAAAAGTATCCAAATTCCATCCCCTAATAATGCTAACTTTAGAACACACACAATGTATGCATGTTGAACTGATCAATGAAATGCAAACGAGAGCATGATGATCTTGAAAAATCCAAAAACCTCAACATATCAGCTTTAGATTTCTTAGGTGCGACATAAGAGTTTAAAACCCTCAAAACAAAAACCAGCCTTTATATCCAAGAAGGAAAAAATATAGAATCATCATCTCATATTAACCTACAAAATTAAAACAACCCCAAAAAAAGTACATAGAGAAAGAAAGAATATATATATATATATAATCATCTCATCTTAACGAATTTATAAAAACAAAAAGCAGCCAGCCCTCCAAGAAAGAAAGAAAAATTAGAGAATCATCAACTCTTAACTGCATATTTAAGCGTTTAAAAGCAAAAATAAATTAATTAATAAAATTTAAACCAAAAAAGAAAAAAAAAACACACACACACATGTATGTGGACAACATATTTCAAAGATTAAAGAAGACAATCAAATAGCAAGTTATGTGCAATGCCATCTTATTTATAAAGATTAGTTATGACCTAAACCACAAATCCAAATGAAAATTTTTTATTTATGAGAATTGGAAAAAAGTTCTGTTGAAACCATTAAAACATTTTGTTTACTTTTGGATAATGAATTTTACTTAAATTATTTTAAACTCTTTATATTTCTCCAATTTCCCATAATTTGATTTTATTTTTAAAACTTTATGTTAATGGTTTTTCCTTCAAATTTGATAATAATGTTTATTCAAGAAATTTTAATTTGTGAGTTATGGTATTATTGTTGATGATTATTGTAAATTCGAAAATTGATAGTTTATTTATTAAAATCCTTTTGACCTTGCATCATAATATTGGAATTAAGCGTAACTTAATTAATGAAAATTTCATATTTCTTGTGGCATAAAAGATTAGGACAGTATTCAGTGAAAGATTAGGAAAATTAGTAAAGGATGTGATTCTTCTGAATCTAAACTTTACTGATTTTTGGATGTGTGTGAATTGTATTAAGGGAAAATAAACCAAACACACAAAAAAAATGAGCCACAAGAAGTACGGAGCTTCTTGAAATTATTCACACAGATATTTGTGGACCTTCTGATGTCCCATCTTTTAGTGGAGAAAAGTATTTTTATCGCCTTTATAGTTGATTTTTCACGTTATGGATATATCTATTTGTTGCATGAAAAATCTCAAGCAATAGATACTCTTGAAGTATAAGTAAATGAGGTTGAAAGACAACTAGATAGAAAAGTGAAAATCATAAGGTTATATAGAGGTGGTGAATATTATGGAAAGTATGACAAAACGGGTCAATGCCCTGGACAGTTTGCAAAACTCCCTGAAATGTATGGCATTTGTGCTCAATACACTATGTTAGGCATGCCACAGTAGAAGCGTGTAGCTGAAAAGTATAATCGTATTCTTATGGATATGGTTAGGAGTATGTTAAGTAATTCCTCATTACTCATAATGTTACGGATGTTAAGTAATTTAGAAACTACAAGTTTTACTGTCTTAAACATAGTACGAGAATTGTTGAAACCGGAAATGTCAAATTCATTGAGAACGGTGAAATTAGTGGGAGTGATAAAAAATAAGAATGTGATCATTCAAAAAGTTATGATACAAATTCATTTACCCATAACTTATAAGGAAATAATTGTTCCTTCAGTTGTTGAACCGTAAAACAACGAAAAATAATTGAATGATCAACAACTCCATAATGAGATTGTCACCAATGAATAGATTGTAGAAGAACCATAAGGAATAACATTAAGAAGATCTCAAAAAGAAAGGAGATCTACTATTCCAGATGACTGTATAATATATCTGCAAGAATCTGATTTTGATAGTGAGATATATAAGGATCCGGTTACATATTCATTAATAGTAATGATTTTACTAAATTAATTAGTGCCGTGAAGGAAGAGATTATAAAGAAACATTCACTCCAGTATCTAAGAAGGATTCTCTTAAAATATTGTGAAATATATATTTTGTAATTAGCTAATTTCGTTGTCAAAACAAGTCCGATCGGTTGTAATTTTTCAGTTTAAAAATTCAAGATTGAAGATCGGATGCGGTTTGATGAAGTTCAAGTGTTCATGGTTTACTACACTCCGGGATGATGAGAACAATGATTTAGAAAGGTATGTGAGTGAGTGAGAACACTTAGGAAGATTTAGAGGGTTGAAGGAAATAGCAGGATTGACTTCTGTCCATTGGGAACTGAGGGGACATCCTTGAACCAGTAGCTAACTATGGTTCAAAGAGGAATTGGTCACTGGCAATTCTGAACAGGTGGCCAAGAGCTGAACCAGTAGCCAAAGTGTGTCGGATTGTCCTTCTTGAACCGATAGCCACATCTTATACCGGTTCAAGGCTTGTAGACCTATTAGGCAACTTCAGTTTCCTATTCTGTTTTGATTCCTTTTTGGTCCAAACTTCCTTCTAAACCCTATGCAACCCTATGCACGAATTCTACTTGTTTTACAAGTGTGCTTAGGTCTTCCAAACTTCTATATAATACATCTTTCATTCATTATTGAGATATGGTTTTGAGGAACATCAATTTAATATTTTGAGAAAGCCTTTAGAGAGAGATTATTCAAAAAATCAAATCTGATTATTCTGAATTTATTTTTGAGAGCACACACATATATTCATAAGTGATTTAGTAGTGTTGTTCTCAATCTCATCGGAATTGGAGCTTGATTGAAGATTCAGAGATTCCAACAGAGCAGATCTATTCTTCTACAACGATTTCAGATCTTAAAGAAAAGGGATAAAAGCACTCACACTTAGCAATGGTCAAAGCATTTGAGTAGTGTTGTTTAATCTACTAGCAATCCTTCTACAGAGATCAATAATAAGCCTGAAGTCAAGTGCTGTTCGACGGGACGTCGCAAAGCCAAAGGATTGTCAACTATTGGTATTTAGTGGAACGATAGAGTGTAAGCCTGAGTCAAAGTTCAGTGTACTTTGTTTCATACATAGTGGATCAGTTTACTTTGGACTGCATAGTCCACGAGGTTTTTCCTATTCAAACAGTTGGTCTATTTTACCAACTGGAGTTTCCTCGCTAAAAATCCTAGTGCAATCTCTCTAACTCTACTTGTTTTACTTTTTAATATTTATATTTGTGATTGTGGATGTTTAATTGATCATATTGCTTAGGTAATTTAATCAAATTACAAATTGGGTAAGTTGATCTATTAATCTCATATAGGTCATTAAAGGGGTTAATCACAATTAAAATCAACTAACAGCTTCCTCACCCTACGCAATAAACTATACTTTCACAAATATCTTGGCATTAGTAGCATATTATGATTTAGAATTACATCAAATGAATGCAAAAACAACTTTTTCTGAATGGGAGGAGTTTAGAAAAAGGAAGTCTATATGGAACAACCTAAAAGCTTCACATTAGAGAGTAAAGAATACATGCTCTGTAAACTTATGATGTCAATATATGAACTTAAACAAGCTTCCCAACAATGGTATATTAGGTTTAAAGATACCATTATTTCTTTTGGTTTTAAAGAAAACACTGTTGATCGGTGTATATACCAAAAGGTTAGTAGGATTAAGTTTATATTTCTGATTATATATATTGATGATACTTTGCTAGTAGTGATTTTAGTTTATTATATGAAACTAAAAGTTATCTCTAAGAACTTTGAAATGAAATATATGGATGAGGCATACTACGTGAAAGAAATAGAAATATTCCATAATTGATCACGTAGATTTTTAGGATTGTCTTAAAAAGCATATATTAAAAGAATTCTAGAAAGATTTGGTATGGAGCATTGTTCAACTAGTATTGTTCAATACATAAAAGGGGATAAATATAGCCTAATATAATCTCAAAGAATGAGTTTGCTAAAAGGTAAAGAAATGAAAAATATTCCTTATGTATATATTGTGGAGTTTGATGTATATACAAGTTAGTAAAGGATAAAAGATTATATGCTCACACTTAGGAAGACATTTTTATAAATATGTGGATAATAATTAATTTATAATTGGTTATTTGTTCCTTTTGGCTGGAGCAACAATATTATAAAAAGTGCAAAGTAATTTTGTATTACTTTGTCTATTATAAATTTTAATTTATAGCGTGTTTTGAGGTTACAATTTATCGTTGTATAATTTATTTCAGGACTTAGAGTTATGGGTACCATTTTCAGATTGCTGAAAATTTATGTTGCAATTGTTGATCTTCTTGTATGAAAAATGATAGGTATTCTAAAGTTGAAATACTTTATCATTAAAGAAGATGTTTAGAAACAGCAAGTGTTTATTGAATATATAAGTACACAACTTATGATTGTAATCCATTAACGAATAAACTACCGCCCATGACATTTATGGGACATATTGGAAGAATGAGTCTTGAATGTAGTAATTAATGATGGTTATTTTTGATTGATTACTTAAAAGTACTTATATATATTTGATATTTTGATCTCATTAAATGTGTTTATGATATTTTCTGTTAATTTATATATATACATGTACATATTATTTTGAATGAATGATAATAAGAATAGTCTGGGAAAAGACATTATTGTTAGACTATTATCGATACTTCTCATTTATAAACTATGTTAAATAGGTTACTAGTGTTGTGGTATATGGAAAGGACTGTGTCATCTAGTAACATATAACCGCCATAACTCGCATTGGTAGTTTATTTACCATGGTATTTATGATGACCAGCTTAATGTGTTAATTTGATTTATGGTGCACATTAATAACTATTTTACTAAACCACTATAGAAGTTATTATATGGGCCAAGTGGGAGATTGTAAGATTATTTATTAATCATGTGGCCCACATGATTTAGACATGTGATATATTTTATTAATTAGTGGTTAAGTAAATAGATATCAGATTAATATTATATTATTTGGTCAACTTATAAATTACCTTTTTGATAATTAAATACTCCCTCCGTCTCAAAATAATTAGGTACTTTGAGAACTGTGACTCACAAAGTTGTGAGTCACAGTACCCAACTATTTTGGGAAAGAGGGAATATTGGAAAAAGATTTTCCTATTTGTTCTTTACTTTAGTAAAAAATGGAATTAAGGTTACTAAAAGGAAAACTGGTAATCTCTCTACCTTTATAAAAGTGCATTTATCCTATCAATTATGTATATTAATGAAACAACATGTATAATGTTTATGCTTGCAAAAGGCCAAGGAGAAAAATCGGTTTCCACACTTTAACTATTGTTTTGGCTGCAGTTCAGTACGTTATTCGTTCTACATAGGATCTCGACGTTTGGCTTGATAAGGTTTGCTAGATTGAGGTATTTATATTTAACTATTATTAATGTGTTATAGACATGTAAAAATAATGAAGTTTAATTTTCTAGAATTATGATTTGTATTTAATATTGTCGCACAAATATTATAATATGTTTATTTATGATTAGTTGTTTGCACAAATAATTATAATTTACGTGAGAAACCAAAAACAATCAGAGACTGAATAATAATAGTAACATTACCTTCATATTGAAGCGCCAGTTGTTCAGGGTTATCTTCGTAAAAGTCGATCTCTTTTATGTGTTCAAAGGTCAACCTCGGGTCGTCTATCTTCTTCTGCACGTAGTGAATTAGTTCCGCATCAGAGGGACAAAATCTAAACCCAGGTGGAGGTGGAGGTGGAGGTGGAAGAGGCATATGCTCTCGCAGCTTGTTAAGTAGGATTTGGCCGATACCGGGAATGTCAAATCCTTGTGAGGGGATTTCTAGGAGCTGAATTTGAAGCCCGGATCCTTTTGCTTGATGAATGGTTGACTGGAATTGAGGGGGCCAGTGAGAGTTTGTGACCAAGCTCACCATCATGCCATTCTCGGCGAATAACTTAGCCATATCTATCATAGGACCTTGATCCAGTGATGGGATAAATACAAAGTGAAGCTGGTTCGAGGTTGATGACATTGCTACAGATTTGATATGGCTTTGGAGATTGAGAGAAGTTTACAGTGTTGATTGGATTCACTGATTGATCAGGACCCCTCCTCAATCTCAATGAGAGAGCTGTAGTACACTTTGAAGCAGAGGGGGAGACCTTTCTAAACGTACCTCTCCCCATAGGAGAGGGAAGAAGAGGGGCTGTTCTTTGACCAAGGGGTATATTTAAGTTATTTTGGATTCAGAATTTTTTTTAATAACCACTTATTCTCATTTAGTTTTCCTTTCGCCGGTCCCTCCACAACCACATGGATGGTTACCAACTCAATGCTTGTACATTTACTGTTTTTTTTTATATATGAATTTGAACATTCAAAAAAAAAAAAAAAAAATTGAATAGAAAGTATTTTATTTATTTATTATTATTATCATTATTACGGGAGATCTATCATGTTCAAGTTCGTCTAATTAATTTGTTATTTACATTTTTTTTTTTCTTTTTCGGTAAGTATTTACGTACATTTTACTCTTCTATACTTCTTCTCTGTTATTTGAAAATTGTTACCAAATTTTTTGTATTTGTACGCCTTTTAAAGTTAAAATTTTAGATCTATTAATTTTCCAACAACAATAAATATAAACCAATTTTTTTTTTAACCCACACCTCTCCCTCTCCGTGCAGGACGAGTAGATATCCAGAACAACGGGGATAGATCTGGCTTGGAATCCCTATTTTGCTTAAAAACCATTCTAATCTTAATAATTTATAAAAGGGTTAATTACAATCACACCCCCTGAAATTTGTTATATTGACAATCATATGATAGTTAGCTCATATTCGAACAACCCCTTGTCATATTTTGAAGCCAAACAGAGCCCCTTTAATATTTTATTCATATTTTGATCTAAAATATGCAAACCATTAGGTGACCAAAATACCCTTGTTGGAAAAAAAATAAAAAAATAATAATAATAATTTAACCCATATATCGTACTTTCTCTCTCTAACCTCTCAGTCTCCTTAATCGCCGCCACCACCTCCATCGCCGTCTACCCATTCCCTCTCCACTCACCGCCACCACCGCTCACCTTATATATGATTCACCTTACTTCTGCAAATAAAGCAAAAACGGCTTCTATTATATGTATGCACACACATATATATACACACACACACACACACACACATATACCCACCATCACCATGGCCACTCCCACCTCCTCCCACCATGCCTACCTTCTATCCACCCTTACACTACCCATCATCGCCACAACCCAATCCTTCTCTCTCATTCACCACTAAAATCCACCCTATATCGATGTCGTCGGCTTTGTGCAGCACCACTGCCTCCATCCTCCTCCTCCTCGGTGTCACCGGCCGATTGCGAATTTTGTTGTCAATTCCAGCAGATCTTATAGTTTTTTTACTTGGGTTGATTTCGTGTTTTCTTAGAGATCGCTACTATTTTGGGAGTCGCAGAGAAATATTGCTAATCGAAAATTTTGGGTAAGTATTGGTGGCCCAAGGCGGTACTGGTGGTGGCGGTGGAGTAATAAAGCGTATCCTATGGAATTGAAGATCACGGATGAATGTTTGTCTCCAATTTTCAGGCGTTATTATTGGATTGGGTTTTCCAATTGAGTGCTAAGATTATTGATTTCCCCAGCAACTCCACCACTGCCATCTTCCGCGTTCATATGCAGTACGTTCCTGGCCCCGAAAGATTTTCTCGCCCTTCTTTGGTTCGAAGCCCCTCTGTTGCACATGAATTAACCAAAAATAAATAAATAAAAATTAAAAAATTCAAAATTAGAATTGAAATTTAAGTTAATAAATATTTGGGATCCAATGCAAAAGCAGTAGTTGATCATTAATTAAGGTTCGGAGACAAAGTAAATGATGTTCAGTGTCTATGCAAAAATGGAAGATAATTTGACGGAAGCATAATTTGACAGTAACACACTGCTGCTACTAGAATTCTAAGATAAAAAGGGTGGCTGATTTTTTTTTTTTTTGGGATCTTCTTTCTGTATCTATTATATATTTAAGTATCATTTTCTTTTTGTAGCTATATATATATAATGCAATTGTATGGTTTATATGTATATATAAGAGTGATATGTATACCCCCAAATGCCACTCACAATCGCCTCCTTCACCTTCTTCATTCAGGGCATTTTATTATTATTATTTTTTAAACAATGGGCTTTGGATTTTGCAGAGATGATGATGTTGGAAGTTGGTGATAAGAGTCTATTGTTGGTCTTCAGATTTAATTACAGGTAATGGTTTCACTTGATATGTTTTATCTCTCTCTCTCTCTCTCTCTCTCTCTCTCACACACACACACACACGTATATATATTGCTTCTGGTTCTTTGTTTTTGTGGATTCTTTGAACCTAAATCAAGTTGATTTTCGGACACACAGTGTGTGTGTGTATAGAAAGAGAGTATAAAGGGTCAGTTTTGTCCATTAAAATAATTAGGAAGGTTAAAGTGGTAATTTTATTATTCAAATTGGTCAATTCAAAAGTCAAAGGGTAATAGGGTCAATTTACTTTGTATAAGAGGTGATAGGGGTGGTATTGTTAACTTTATCAAATTTAAGGGATGTCATAGTTCAAAAATGGGCCAACTTATATATGATTGTCATTATGTCAAACCTCAGGGGGTGTCGTTGTAATTAACCCTTTATAAAATGTACCACACAACTTTTGCTTAATTATAAAAAGATTCTTAATTTAAATTTTTCTTATAGAAATAGTTATGGAAAATTCAAAAATGGTATTCAGTAATTTAATATGGACTTATAGACTATTTTTATGTATGCATTGCTAAAGCACACGAATTGAAAAAGATTAAGAGTCAAAATCAATGGCATAAATTCAAGGGATTATTACATATAAATGGGGTTAGGGTTCCATATTTACTAAGAGGCTGAGTAAAAGTCTCATATTTCTTAAAAATGAGGTTGACTAAATTGATGACATGGCACATGAATTATTACTGTTTAAAACTTGTGGTGCCTAAAATGCCCTTCTCACTATTCCAGCACATTTACCTTATTGCCCCCGTTTAATTTGGTCACCCAACTCTAAAGCATTGTTGCCCTAAAATACACTCAGTCGTGCATCAGAAATCCAGCGAAGCAAGCCCAGGCAAACACAGCATCACCGAACATGGAACCCTAACCCTCCCTCATCTCATTTGTGAAGAGCCCTCAAGAGCCCTCTCTCTCTCTCCCCCCCTATCTATAACAGGATTAAAGCATAGCCGTTGAGCCCTAACCCTCATTCAAGCCCTCTCTCTTTCCCCCTCTGTAACAGCGAAACACTTCTCCACGTCTAACCGTCGTTGGTGCGCCCTCTCTGTAACCCAGCGAAGCACTTCTCCACTTCTGCCATTCATTTATTGTTATTCTAGTAATATGGTAAGTACTCTCTCTCTCTCTTAACACACGTTTATTTTTTAGATGATTATGGTCCTGATTTAGTGCTATAATTTTTTTTTTTTTTCCAATTGGATGTCTGATTTTCATGTAGGTTATGCTTATATATATTCTCCTCTTATAATTTCTATTATGCATTCATATATATATAATTTCTATTCTGCAATCAAGATTGTTTTTGCTCTGTTTGTTGTATATGTTTGAAATGTGCGTAACAAAATGTTGCTCTCTTGTTTGTGACAAAATTAATTTTTAAAACTCAGTTTTTTCCCACCAACAAAGGCAAAATTTTCATAAAGTAGATACTTAATTAATCAAATGTTTTTTTTATTTTTTATTTTTTTATTTTTCTTCTTCTTCTTTTGTAATTAGGTTTGCTTGTTTTTGAAGAGTTCATGCTTTTTTTATACGTTGACTGAACTGAAATCCCAAATGTTATCCTACAATCTTTCCACTAGCATGGATTTTCATAGTTAAAATACTCAGAATTTGCTGAAGAAAACATAATTAAACAGGATAAAAAACAAATTTTCATGCATGTCCTTTGTTACATATATCAGATTATAGTTCAATGTTAAATATATAGGCATAATATACATAAGATAACAAGCAACCCAACTCCTATGTGTGCCAAAAGCCCCAAATACAATCATTTTGTACATTCAGTTACACAGAAAACCATAAAGCTTTACTTTTCCAAGTATCCCAAATTAAGATACAAATAGGATCAGAATCCTTATTCATATTTATAATTCTATATCGAAAATCACTAACTTGCATTTGAATTGGAATATCCATGTGCATGAAAAAATCATATGTGACCCTAGTTGGAGGAATAAAAATTCCTAAAAGATTGTAAAAGTTAGCATCCTTCCTTCAATAATATACAAATGATGGGCCCTAACTTTCCAGTTCTTGAGGTAAAGAGTTAAATGGCCCAAAATTATTTCCACCCCCCCCCCCCCTCTATTTTTAGTGCATTACTCCGTGTATGTCTAGCTTACATCAGCTGCTAAGAGAGGAAGACGGAAGACAGACAAACTTTGAGTCTGTTCTTAGATTAAAACTCGTATCCAATTGCACCAAGTAATGATCCTGATGGATTTTTGGAACACGCCTAAACTTCAATATCATTCTTTTTAATTTTTTATCTCATTTTCTCTGTCCTACATTAGTTATCAGTTTGCATTTCTTTGATTAGCACCAATATGAAAAGGGTGAAGGAGTTCCAAACAAATTGATTTCCCATTAGATTGGCAGAAAAGAAAGTTCAAGCATCTCACAACTAAAAATACTAAGGACAGCAGCACTGTTTATTTTGCTAAACCTTTTTTTTTTTTGGTTCTTTGAACCAACCAAATACAGCTCTAAACCAATCAGAGGTCCTGCCTTTTAAATTTTATATAGTTAAAAGCCACAGCAAAGTGACCAAAATTCAAGAAGGTGTTTTTGGGCAGCTAGTTTCTGTTGCTACAAATGCAAGAAAAAGGAGCAATAGAAGCAAACTGATAATGATACTTGCGAAGTTTAAAGGCCATCAGTGGACTGTTGGTAGACCAGTAATTAATAAATAAGGATTATTACATATAAATAGGGTTAGAGCACCATATTTACTTAGAGGCTGAGTCAAAGTCCCAAAGTTTCTCTAAAATGTGTTTGACCCAAAAGCTGAGGTGGCACATGGAAAAATACTGTTTCATATTTTTGTTGCCTAATATACCCTTCTTCCTATTTTATGTGTTGCCTAAAATACCCTTTTGTACACTTGCCTATT